CCACTCATGATTTGGAATTGGGGGCGGTGGTGTTTACCCTCAAGATTTGGAGGCATTACTTGTATGGGGTTCGATGCACTATTTACACTGATCATAAGAGCTTGAAGCATTTGATAGATCAGCCGAACTTAAATATGTGACAGAGGAAGTGGTTGGACGTGGTAAAGGACTATGACTGCAAGATTTTGTACCATCCTCGGAAGGCCAATGTGGTGGCCGATGCTTTGCGTCGTAAGGCGGCGAGTACTCCGATCCGAGATATTTTCTTGAGGATGACGGTTATCTCACCATTGATGGATATGATTAAGGGGGCACATGTTGAAGGATTGAAAAAGGAAAATTGGAAGACTGAACGGATTAGGGGGTAGATTCCTTTGTTTTCCAGAGACAGTCGGGGATTATTGACTCAGTGTAGTAGGGTGTGGGTACCGGCATTTGGTGGGGTGAGGCAGAAGATTTTGGAGAAGGCGCATAAGTCCAAGTTTTTTATCCATCTGGGGGCCACGAAGATGTACCTGGGATTGAGCTATTGTTGGGCCTGTATGAAAAGGGAATTTGCTTGGTTTGTGGAGAGGTGTTTGACCTGTAGGAAGTTCAAAGCTGAGCATTAGAGGCCTCACGATAAGGTTCATCTGTTACCCATCCCCATGTGGAAATGGGAAGAGATCACCACGGATTTTATCACAAAATTACCCAGGACGGCGCAGGGTGTTGACTCTATTTGGGTTATTGTGGACAGGCTAACCAAGAGTGCACACTCTATCCCGATTGCTGAGAAATTAGCGGATATTTATGTTCGGGAGGTGGTAGCCAGGCATGTTGTGCCGGTGTCTGTGGTCTCAGACCGCAATGTTAGGTTCACCTCTAGGTTTTAGAGGAAGTTTCATGAGGATTTAGGCACCCAATTACATTTTAGTACAACTTACCACCCCCATACCGATGGACAGAGCGAGCGGACGATACAAACGCTCGAGTATATGCTCCGGTCATGCGTTATAGACTTCGCAGGGAGTTGGGATACTTACCTCCTACTAGCAGAGTTTTCCTACAACAACAATTATCATGCTAGTATTGAACGAACCCCATTCAAGATGCTATATGGTCGAAAGTGTAAGACTCAAATTTGCTGGGGGAGGTTGGCCATCGAGTCATGGGAAGCACCGAAGTGGTGCTTAAGACCACTGAGTTGATTCAACAGGTGCGTGACAGGCTGCAGTCGCGCAGAGTCATCAGAAAAGTATGTTGGCCAACGTCGATCGGATCTCGAGTTTTAGGTGGGGGACTTCGTATTACTGAAGGTATCGCCGTGGAAGGGTGTCATCCGCTTTTGGAAGAGAGGCAAGTTGGGACCCCAATTCATTAGTCCATTCAGGATCTCTGCCCGATTTGGCAAGGTTGCGTATTGGTTTGATCTCCCTGTTGAGCTGAGTCAGATCCATAACACATTCCATATGTCTCAAGTGCGGAAGTGTGTATCAGATGAGGCTGTAGTTATTTCTTTGGATGATATTCAAGTGGATGAGAGCCTGAACTATGTTGAGAAGCCCATTGCAGTTCTGGATAGAAAAAACTAAAGCACTTCGTAATAAGGTGGTGAAGCTAGTAAAGGTGCAATGCCAGCACCAGAAGGGCTCCGAAAAGACTTGGGAGCCAGAGGACGAGATGAGAGTACATTACCCGGATCTATTTGCGTCAGCGGACTTCGAGGACAAAGTCTAGTTCAAGTGGGGAAAAGTTGTAACATTCAAAATCCAGGTATTCTGTTTATGCCCTTGAAGTATTTCATTTTTGGCATTTGAGGACTCTTCGTACGCTGGGCATACATGTGAGTACGCTTAGCGTACTCAGGCGCATGCATCGGGTGACCGAGGCTCATACGCGAGGCGTACAAGGCCGAAGACTAAAACCCTAATGACCAGACTTGTGCCCTATTTAATCTCATTTATGACCTTGAACCCCCTTCCTTACCAACCTCCATTGCTTTCAAACGCCTCTAAAACCCTAAATCGTTTGTGAGTGATTCTTGAGATTAAAGTGCCTAAAATACCCCCTTTTTGGTGTGCTAGCAAGGAGAAGAAAGTGGTGAGCAAGCCTTGAACGTGGGAAGAGATTTTAGATCCTGAATCTAGAGTATCTTGGGGAGCTAGTGGAGGTAAAAAGCTCATACCTTGCTATTGTTTTTGCTAGTTTTAGTTAGGGTTTGGTTTTAAGCCCTTTCTTGGTCCATGAGCCCTCTTTTGCGAGTTTGGGCAACTCCAGAGGGTTGAGATGTTAGATCCAAGCTCTTTAGGCATGTTGAAGGCATAAAAATGCTAGCTTGATGACTATTAAGACTCCGTGCATGAATTTAGGGTCTTAAAAGGGGTCTTAATGGGTTAAATGAGGTGTTGGGTTCCCATGTGGCATGCAAGGGCATAAAGTTGCCAACTTTATGCCCTAGGACCTCTTAATCGGCTCATATATGGTTTTGGACGTTGAGTTTCCACGTATCAAGTCCTTAATGGCCTTTGGTGCATAAGTTGCTTGTACGTGGACGTACTACCTTGTACGCTGCACGTACCACCTCAGAGCCGAGTACGCTAAGCATACTAAGGTTGTACGTTGAGCGTACGCCTTCAGTGGGTGTTGGGCTTTCGGTGGGCCTTTGAGTCATTTGGGCTTTGCTTAAACTTGGGCCTGGATCGATTAGGGTAATTGGGCCTTGGACATTATTTTGGGCCATGGGATTCAAGGTTGGACCTATTGGGCCTTGTGGCGCATTATTGTTTTGGACCTTGAATGCGGGCCCATTTAGGAAGTAAGTCTTATGGGCCTTAGTAGAGGATCTCGGACTTTGGATTTTGGTCCTTTGGCTAGGTTGTGTCATAATCCTAATTAGGGTAATCTATATGTTTATTCAGTGTGAGATTTTTTTTCAGTAGCCGAGTAGCTATTGTGTCAGCAGACTGAGGTGAGTCTTCTCACCATAACTTCGGGTCTAAGGCACCAAGGCCGGCTCAATATTCATTTATGTTGAAGGCTAGTTGTTGTATGTTATATGTTGTGATTGGGTTGAAATATACCGTAAGGAGGGGGCCCAGTATGACATGATGGGTTGAAATATACCCTAGGGCAGGGCCCACTATGATGTGTGTGGGTTGAAATATACCCCAGGGCGATGCCCATACTTGTTTTGGGTTTGGAATGAACCCCATGGCTGGACCCATTTTTATGTATTGCATGTGTTATTTTGGGAAAACTCACTAAGCGCTTGGTTACAGTTGTATTGTGATTTTAGGTGCGTCTGGTTCCAAGGGTAAGGGACCGGCTTGATGGCGCAGCATGCACTCTCCACTTTTTGTCCGCATTCATTGATATGGATACTCTAATGATTTTGCATGTTGGCTTTTATGTAATGGATTCTTAGTATTAAACTTATGGTTATAAACCTTGTTTAAAAATGAAAAATTTTATCTGGATTTTTGGGCTGTTACAAATCAGTTAAAACTTTGACATACCTACAATATTACTAGCGTTCTGCGATTGACTTTCTATGTGAATCTTGGGACAAATTGATATGAACCGTTCCGATAGTATAATTACTATGTTTTTAATCTAATTAACCTAATTGGAATACATAAGTTTTTTGCAACATTATCAATTAATGATAAACTTTTGGATGGAAAAATGGAAGTCAAGAATGTAATCCTCTTCAACTATACCCACAAAAACTCTTTTGTGATTCACGTTTGTGAAATTTAATGCATTTTCATGATTCGGGAGGATCACAATTTCTAATTCTCACGCCATGTGTTGTTCTTTTTCCTATAAAATCTATTCTAATAAATGAATAACTTTTTGTCACATGTCACATTCTCATTCAATTTGTCAAATATCATTTTGTGGTTATTTTGAATTAATATTTTATCAACATATCATTTTATGGGTTATCTTATTTTATTAATTTCTATATAATATTTTAATGTAATAATTACAATAAATATAATAATAAATGGATATTAATTTTATTAATGGACTTACCTTCTAGTTTCAAAAATCCCAAATTAAAGCTCATTATTTTTTTTGTTTATTTATTTAAATTATTTGTTTAAATTTAAAAGATAAAAAAACATTTTAATTTTAATAATTCATTATTTTTTTTATTTTCTCAAAAATTCAAAGTTTTCAAATATTTAGACATTTATATTTATTTATTTTTAAATTAACTCATATAATATATGAGTCTCACAACTAATATGTTAATATTTAGAATATATATTAGACATTGTCTATATACTGTATTATTATCTCATTATATTTTAAAAGATTGTTTTATGTTAGTGTAATTTCGCCAATCAGATGACTATTACGTGACTTTCTTAAATATTCTCAATAGTCAAAGAAAATAAGAAAATTTAATAAGTTTATATTTAATATTATATTATTATAGTTATAGGGACAAAACGTTACCAAACGAAACAAGTTAGGTTCGTCTCCAATATGTTTTTATGGTAAAAGAAGTTAACAATTATGCATGTTGAAAATGTTTTGATTATGAAAATTAAGAGCCATTTTAGTAATTCGTTTGGCGGTTGTAGAATAGTATATCTACATAATACAGTAGTAATATCACAATAATTACAAAAATATCATTTTTGAATACATTTAAAAATCTTTGTAATTTTTTGGAAACCACAAGCAAAAACTTAACAGGTCGATCGAAATTGTACATAGCTAATTATTGAATTTAAAATTTTATTAGGTTTAGCTTTATCCATTTTATATTATCAATAAATTTTAAACCAATAGCATCATATACAAAACAAACTTAATAAAAAATAGTAAAATAGAACTCATGAATTAAAAAACATTAATCGTGTGGCATGATTACAACCATAGAATTATAATATGGACCATTCATTATTTTTTGTAGATAATGTTACATACATTATTCATCACAAAATTGAATATCTAACCATAGTTTTATACTCAATCATAAACAAAGTCAAATAATAAAACAAACCTAACGTTAAACCACCCTTCTAAAACTAATTTTTTAATTCTATTTTATAACCTTACGATATAATAATAATCTATATGTCTCATTTTCACCAATCCCGTTTATCTATTTTTTTTACATTTTTTAATTTATATTTAAAATTTATTTACATAACTGAACATGCATTCGGGTTTTCGTCACTAAACATCCCTGAATCAGTCACTCGAGGATCGTGAAGGTACATCGGCGGCGGCGGCAATGGCGGTGGATGCGAATATTCCATTCCATGTCCGTAATTATAACCTTGAGATACATAGCCATGACTAGAAGATGCTAACACTCCATAATCTTGATTATAATAATTCTGATTGTAATAATTCTGGTTATACGATGGCATCGTGTATGTGTAAGGATTATGACCGGAATATTCCAATCTGTTGACCACCTCTATCCCCTTCTTCTTATCTTCACCACCGCCACCACCACCACCTGCCGCCTTAACAACACCGTCGCCGCCTTTAGCCTTTGTATCACCACCACCACCACCTTCCTTCTCTTTCTTATCACCTCCACCTCCACCTTCTCCCTTTTCTTTCTTGTCATCTTTTGCATCAGTACTTCCTTTTTCTTCCTTTTTAGGAGGGACAATATCGATTTTCCTTTTAAGTTTTTCCTTTAAATGGGGAAGGAGTTCTTTCACGTTCATTGTCCCTTTCACTGTGACCAAATCCCTGCCGGAATCTGGCGTCACTGATTCTACACCTGTTACAAAAGACAAATATATATGATCAGATTAAACAAATCAATAATTCGATACGTCATCTGAAACAAACTTTTTTATTTAGAAAAATGGCTTCTTAATTTATTCAACTGTTATGGTCATTTATTATGTGCTATGAGGAATATTTGGTAGAATATTAAACACTTACCATCGATCTTTGATATCTGTCGTTTGATTTTGTGTATGCATCCGTCGCAGTGTAGTGGAATCTTGAGAACCACCGTACTCGGTTGAGGCTATACAGCAACCACCACCAAAAAAAAAAAACAATCAAATACAATATAAATTTAAAAAAAAAAATCATTAATTTAATGGAAATAAACCCAGCATTTACATTAATTAATTGCAGTACCTCTTTTGGTTTTTTGTCATCGGCGGGTTTTTTCTCCGGTGGCTTTTCATCGGGCTTCTTATCACCTCCACCTCCGCCGTCCTTTTTGGGCTGAGGAGAGAGGATCTCCACCTTCTTCTTGGTCTTGTACTCTACTCGTTCCTTGATGCGCGTGGGATCCACCTTCCCCGTTACCATTAGTTTGTTGCCGGGGGTGTCGGCCTTCACACTTTCCACACCTACAAACACGTAGTTTTCATTTCCCGTCGTTAGTTACACCAACAGGAGTTACGAGTCTAACGTACGCCATTTGCATACAGATACATTCAACCTTTTGTTGGAATTATTATTATTATTTTTAATTTTATTAAAACTAAAAAAATAATCCCTCTTGGCAACTCCGTCACGTTCATAGCTTTGACGGAATAAACAAGCAATATATAGTTATACACACTATGTCTCTATTATTCAACCCTCATATGATTCGGTTTTGAATTATGGAAATCTGTTATGGTTACTACCTTCGAAGTGGCGTATAGATTTTATGATTTTTTTGGCACATCCATCGCAATGCAAGTCAAGTTTAAGAACGACGGTTAGAGGGCCACCGTCGGCCTTTTTTGGTCCGCCGGCGGCGTCGGCAGGCTTTTTCTCACCAGCTTCCTTCTTTGTATCATCTTTCTGTAATTAACAAAATAGGAAAGAAACAAAAGTTAGATTAACGATAACGGCTAGATCGAGGGAGGAAACTGAAGCTGATATTTTTCAAACACCAACCTCACCCATTGGAATGATTATGACTTTTGAACAAACAAAGGGTTGAATTGGAAATTTGGGAATCGGTTTGAAGATTGGAATTGGAGGCAAAGGCGGGGATTTATAGGGAGAATGAAATGGGTTTTGATTTATGTATTTGATGTATCATGTATGTATGTGTGTTATATGTATGATGTTGATTATGTATGTGATGATGGATGCTGGATGTATGATGGGACAAGACGGGTGGGTAGTATTTGACCGATCGTGGTTTGTCCGACAGAAAAATGTGGGTTTGCGTCATGCGTGACTGACCCGAATTTAACTTTGACCCGATTGAAGGTTTGATTGACTTTATTGCCCTCATACTACGGCGCCGTAGATTTGGCTGCTGGGTTTCTACCGGTGGGATGATTTACTATTAATTGCTGTCATTTAAAATTGTAGGCGCAATATGTTTTTTATAAGTCTTGCATATATTTTTTTTTCTACTGTTTTTAACGTTATATTATTATTAAAAAGGGATAATGACTTGAAAGGGTAACGAACTTTCGTTTTTGTTCACATTAGTCACTAAACTTTTTTTCGTTATGTATTTGTCACTGAACTATTGAAACTGTTTACATTTTACCCTTATTACCGGTCATAAGGGTAAAATGTG